ATGTAATTATTTTCATTGATTTATCATGAAATATGGCTTGTCAAAATATTTTTACATGTCTACATGTTTCCATATCGAGAGAGAGAGAGATAGAGAGAGAGACAGAGTAAGAGAGAGAGAGATAGAGACAGAGAGAGAGAGAGAGAGAGATGAAGAAAGGAGAACGTACAAATCCATAGCCCTTTGATCTGCCGGTGTTCTTATCGGTTATTATAACGGCCTCCAAAATCTCTCCGTAGGGCTCAAAATAACGGCGAAGTTCCTCCGTCGGAGTCTCCCACGCCAATCCTCCCACAAACACCTTCGTCAAAGTCGTGTCCCCAAACCTCGACCTATAATACTGCGGACTGTTCCCTCCACTCGCCATGTCCCTCTCTTTCTATCTCTACTCTTTCTCTCTCTCTATCTCTTCTCTCTTAAGCAAAGAAGACAAAAGCATCCACTACTCTTCCTCTCTCCCTCCACCTCTCCTCCTCTTCCTCTTCCATTAGAAGAAAGGAAGAAGAAGAAGAGAAGAGAGGACAAATTAACGGTAACTAATTAAGGGAACTGGAGAGAAGATCTGCACAAAACAAAGGCTTGCTCTGTCTCTCTCTCTCTCTCCTCTCCCTCTTGGCCATTAATAAACAGGGGAATCAACGTGGTATTGTATTAAAATAAGGAAAGAAATAAGAGGAGGAACAGTTCAGAGCTTAGCTTGCAAAAGGAGCCAGTGGAGCGGGGGTATTAATTAATTAACAGGAGATTATGTATTATAATGAAGTGTAGATTGCGGGCCAATCGCCCATGTGTCAATGACATGAGACAGATAGATATGAATCATGTTCTGGGGTCCACCACACTGTGCCCCCCCATTACATTATTGGGGGGGTATTTGGGCGAACCATCTCTCTCCGTTATGCACATCATGAGCTACATGTTTCCGGTCGTTTTCTCATCATCCTCAGCAAAATGGAAAGCCTTTGGGGGTGTGGAAAGGCTACAAGATTGCTTTGCTAGGAAGTAAGAGATTGTGTGCAGGGGCTTCGGTTGTGTGCGCGACGATAGAGACTGTCATGTGCGGGTTTGTATGTTCGGGCAGTATCTCGTAAGAGATTGTATCACCTTAAGCTGCGTGAGCGGGCTGTCTAGACTAGGGCTGTCAAAATGGCTCATTGTTCGCGAACAACTCGTGTTCGACTCGTTCGCTAAGGTTGACCATAAGGCTAAAAAGATTTAAAATCAATTAAAAGTATTCATGAAGAAAATGGAATAAAAATTATTATTTTAGATTCAAATGATTTTTAAATATTGCCCCAATCCTTAACATCCTATGGCTACGTGATTAGGGTTGTCAAAACGACTCTTTGTTCGCGAACAACTCGTGTTCGGCTCGCTAAGCAAACGAGCCGAACATGAACACACTTGTTGTGTTCGAAATATAAACATGTCGAACACGAACAGTGATATTTTTTACTGAGCCTAGGCTCTTCGTGTTCGGCTCGTTTACACCTCTAATTCTTGGATTGGTCAGTAGTGCTAAGCCAAAAAATTCCAAAATTGCTTCACATGGAAAAAGCATCTATCAATTAGAAGAACTTGAAATAGCCTTCATTGCATTTTAAAACATGGTATTTTTGGAATGAGTTGAGTTTGAAGAGGAGAGACCAAGGGAGTGGAGAAAGAAGGAAAAACTCTAATTTGTTGAAAGTAGTTATTATGTTTTTTTTTTAAATTTATTTTTTATTTTTTTTTGTGCTTGATACAAATTCAAATACTTGACCTCTATTTTCACCAGTGACATAATTTTTAGAACTTTGCTAACAAATTTTAATCTTACAGGTAATGTTGGCACAATTGAATTTTCTTATATCTTTTATTATAAAAGTCATTAATTATTATATTAGATTTTGTTGCATGAAAAAGTTAATCAGAATCTATGATTATTTTTCTACATTAATATTGATGATATTGCACTTAAAGGAATGTATTTTTGTATTTTTCTAGCAGGTATGACAGATAACTGAAGGGAGGAAAGCGGGAGAGGACTTGGAGGACATAAGAGAAAAGTGGCACCCCAGCCTTTCAAACCCAAACAACCGATTATAAAGGAGAAACAACTAAGTATCTTTGTTTATTACCGTGCATTTCTGTTGTACCAAAGATTTAGTGGATCTCTTTGAGTTAAATCCATTTTTTTGGTGAAATCAACATGTTTTCTGGGTAAACCTTTAAATCTTTCTTGGGATAATTAGGTAGGTTGAATGATGCGCCTCAAGTGCGTGTTGTTTCTCTACATGTTTTATGTCAATTCAATTCCACTGAGACAGTGCCAAAAACTTAACCCGACCCGTAATTATGCAGTAATTTAGCTTCAAAAGACGACAAAAACTTGACCCAATTTATATTTAGCAGCTAATATACGAAATTGAAATATTATGAAATATAACAAATAGTTCACACACTATGGGTTCTACGAAAGTGCACGTATCACTTCACGTAATATAAGACTTTCTGATTAAGCCCCGAATATCGATCCCACGAGGAAGCGAGGAAAGATGTCCTTAGTCAAATTCCAGTCTACTACTATTAGTCCTTAGTTTCGAAGATTGATTTAAGTGATTTTTCTAACAAGTACTCCTAAATGTAAGTCTTAAGTTTAAAACAACTAATAACTATTCTTAGATGAAAATATTAATTCTAAAGATAACCCTTTTTGGATGAGTTGGTTTGGAGAATTTTAAGATGTTAAAAACTTCTCTTCTTATGTAGCGAATTGGATAATGTAAAGGAATGAGATATATTAAATATTGTATGTGCCATATAGGAGCAATTTTAATTTTTTACCTTGATTCAGTGTTATAGAAAATTGTTGACTAATCTTAGGTTTAGTCCCTCAATCCATGGCTAGGCTAGGAGGATACTGGCTCTCACTCCAGAGCTCCCACTTCCCTTCCCTTAAAGGCTAACTCTCTCTTTAGTTTTTAAACACTAAGATCGAATTGGGGATTTTAGTTTGTCACCCTAGAAATCTCCAATTCTACACTCAACAAATTCTATTTTCTTATTTATTTGCACTTAATCCCATGAACGAAATACTCACATAAAGTCATAAGATAATGAAAAACACAATACTTAGCTTTTTTCCCTTGAAAGAAAGATGAAAATCTCTCCCACAAAGTCTCCCGCTGATCCATGCAATGCTAGAACATTCCCTTATAGATTCTCTCAAAATCCCCTCACCAATCTCTCCAAAAAGGTTGAAATCTACATTTCTACTCCAATTCTAAGATTTCTAAACATTCTCCACATTTTTTCACTCACACACACCACCTTTTTTGACATAAAAGCACTCTATTATAGTGTAGGGGCGAATTTCCCAATAGTTGCCTTAAGCAACCTTTCAAAAAGCGTCCAAATACATTGAATATTCTAGAAATTCGCCTAGAATCGCGTCCAAACAGTCTCGGAATCGCGTCCAAACAGTGTCGGGCGCTGTCGGCGCTGGTTCTGGCGCCCACCCTGTGCAGCTCCACCATTTTGCTTCGTTTGGCTCTGTTTTAGCTCCGTTTCGCCCCGTTTCAGTTGCGTTTCGTTCCTAACAGATAGACCTACAAAATAAGCATAAAAACAACCTTTCTTTGCAGTGTAATTTCATTAAAAAATATGTGAGAAGTGTAAAATATATTAAGTATAGAAAGATATATCGAAATGTGCGAGGACATAATTTTCTTTCTTGCTCATTCTTGCTCCAAATTGCACCGTTTTTCCTTCTATTTTTTTCCAATTTTTTTCTCCAAAACTCAATTTCTTGTCTCTGAAACAAAAAATATACAAAATAACGTCCTTTAAAGTATAATATCTTTAAAAATCATTAAAATTGAGCATAAAATATATATGAAAAAGAAGTCATTTTTTAAGCGTATCAAAATCATCCAAACTTAACTGTTACCTGTCCTCAAGTAACACATTCACAACATAAAAGTTATGACTAAAGGTAGAGAATTTAACTTCTAAATTTCTATAATTTGGTCTGATAAATATAATAGCACAACTTAAGAAAATTTTTTTAACAACTTAAGTCAAAACTAAAAGTATAAGAACATTTAGTAGTCAAGTTTAAGATTTCTGATTCTCTATTCATTTCAAGAAGAATTGTAATTTATCATATTAGAGTCACTTAGAATATCCATATGATAAAGAACTTCATGAGAACTTTATTAGTAAGGATACTAATACTCAATTACAAGTTTAAAAAATGTAATAAAGCCTTCTGCCTCAAGTTGATTTAAGTGAAGCCAATTTTTGATTAGGCATCTCCTCAAGATTCTCCTCACATACTTTTCTTTCATCTTATTTTCTTTTTCTTTTTTTTTTCTTTTAGGATCATTTTTTAATCCTTTTTTTTCTTCTTTTTCATGTGAGGATTACTATATTTGGATAGCCTTTAATAATTTTGAACTTCACTATACTCTTCTTAAAGTTAAAAACTTTTCACATTCCTTCACTTTATAAATTCATATTAGATTTGAAGATTTTTCATAAAGCCTTATTCTTTTCTTCTTACATGAAACTCTAAGATTCTTAATACTTCAAAAATACAATTTACTTTACTTTAAATAGAAAAAACATAGTCTTATTCCTTCATACTAAATATCTTAACTCTAGAATGAACTTTCATTATTAAAAACTTTTACTTACGTCTACTATATATTTAGAAACATAAATATAGTTCTCTAAAGTTAGCTTCTAATTACAAAGGTCATGTTAAATTAAAATTTTAAAATATAGCTAATTAAGGACAAATAAAATTTAGTTTCATTCTTATAGGAAATTTTTCTTCCCCTCAAACTTAAAGTTTTAAATATTTTGCAATCAATTCCATAAAATATAGCAAGAAAAAAAGTAAAAGTTGAATCTATTAACTACTACAACATCCTCTCAAATTCATATACATTCATAATCAGGATAAATTGACTGCAGAAGAAAGTAAATCTAGCCTAAAACATGCATGCAATAATACTAAACTAAAAGGAAGCATACTTAGCCATACTTAGCTTACTTAGCTTTAAAATCTATTTTTCTTCCTACCCCCAAACTTGATTTTTAACATGTATATCATTTAGTGCAAAAAATATAAGTAGGAAGAAAACAGTTTAGAAATTTTATCTACCACAAATCTCTATAAAAAAATCTACAATTACAATTATTTATCATCAATCCCATGAGGAAGTGAGGAATGATGTCCTTAATCAAATTCCAGGCTAAACATGCCTGAATGAAATTAACTAAACAAAAGTCTAACTAGCATAACATGTATCAGAATTGGAATATAAAAATGTTATTCAAGTCCTATATATTATTGTAACACAAATGCAAACACACATAATAAATGAGGTCAATTCTTCATTTAACTCATCACATCTCACTAACTTACTTCCAATTTCTAAT